TTGTCGTGTCTTGACTCTATTGACTTAAGCTTGGCTGAGATGCTGATAGTGACCCCAGACACTGTGCTTTAGCCACCTGTGATGTCCTTTATCTGCCGTTCTCTTGCACAGGCAGCATGAATTCCCTCTGTGTGCTGCTGAACTAGATTTGGTGTGTTTGTGCTGCTGGTGACGGGTGTTATCATACTGCTGCAGGCCTCTCCTCTCTTATTTTTTTTAACTCCTAATCACACTAGTCTTCATTTGCAGTTGATCTGAATGGATGTTTGGTGCTCTGAGCAATACTGTTGACCAGGAATGTTCTTTTCTTATAAAATCAAACAAAATGTGACCTACGTGTTATGGGAGGGGTTTAAAAATAACTATTTGTTGTTGTTTTTGCACAGAACTGTACCTGTTTCTAGATCTAGAAACAATCTAGATCTTTGTGCAGATTTAGATTGTTTCTAATTGAGATTCTGAACACTTTGCAGAACTGAAATAGTTGGATGACTTGAAACCCTCACCAAAAGTCTGTCTGGCAGGTGGAGGAACACACCATTAGGCTGAGGGCAGCAAACTTGGGAGGCTCAGACATTCTTCCCTGCGAGTGGACAGTGGTGGAAGGATGTTTCTTCCATGATCTTGCCACCTGCCCTGTTCTCAGTGCTCTCTTCATTTGTTTCTCTTTTTACCAGTTGGTACCTGGAAAAAAAAACTTAAGATCTTTTCACACTGAATGGCATTGTGCCTCCTCCTTAGAATTTTTAAAATTATAATAAAAATAAAGAAAAACAGAATAAAAGATTTTGACACATTGTAGACAGTAAACAACTTCAGGATAAAACGTCCTGCTAGCATTATGAAGATGGTACAGAGAGAAAAGCAAAGCATTGCTGTCCAGCTTGATGTTTGGAGCTGGATTCAGTAAGAGTTCTACATCCATAAAGATGTATATTTATAACAGGCTGTTTTTTTTCAGGAGGCAGCCAGGAAACTGCTTCCAAGCTGGAGGCAGAGAAATGGAGCGGCGTTGAGGGCTGGAGCTGGGAAGTTGCTGGAGTTGCTATTGTTCCACCAGCTGCAGCACCCCTCTCCTGCTGCTCTCTGATATTCCCATGTTAGGAAGATAATCCCAATGAAATTTGAAGCTTGCCCTATAGCTCAGACAGACACTTCTGCCCCTCCTGCTGGTGGTAGCTCTGGTAACAACCGATTCCTTATGGCAATATCAACATTTTACATCAGTGGTTTTACATTATTTTCATCTTGCTATGTTGAATAGTTGAGGGCACTGTCACCTTCCCCCATCTCTGCATTCCTTTGACACCAGGAATGAGACACTTAAAATTTCTAAAGTACAGAATGAATGAAGCTGCAGTAGAATAAACTATTTGGATATAAGGTCCAGAATTATTCTTACAGAATAGCTCTACAACTTTTTAATTTAACCTCCTTTTTTGAGGTGGGCAGACAAGTCCTGGGAAGTCATTTGATTGATGAACAACTGCTTGTAGGTTCTGATCTCTAGTAAACAGCGTGCTGGGCTTCTGAACACGTGGAACTAGGTCTTCAACACTGGTTATTTACTATTCTTTTAAGTAAAATGGAGTTTATATAAAATCACCACACTTCATAACCAGTGGATGCCAGCTTGGAGTTGGTTGCATAGCCCTGCATTTTCCTTTGTCATCGCTGGGGCGTGGGGGACAAGCTCCAAAAGGCACATTCCATTGTCTCCAGTGTTTGAGCAAATCCAGTTGCTTTGGCTGGATTTGTTCATGTGCAACTGCTGTGTTCAATGGAAAGGCTGTGTCAGGAGAGACTGGCTCTGTGGGTCGAGGTCCTCGGTCCTACTCTGCATGCCAGCAAGGTCTAAAACCTTCTCAAGCCCTCGTATCTCATCTGTGTCTCTATCATCTGAAAACAAACCAGTCTCCAGCTTTCCCTCCTCCAGGGCTGGCCAGTGGAAATAATACATGATAAACTCACTTCCTCTGGTACAGAAATGGAGGTTTTCTGCTTGTGTTGCTGACTCTTCATGTGTGCTGGTGTTTGAGCAGCTAATTTTTCATTCTCTGCCCTTTGTTTTTGGGTCACCTCTTTGGCCATTTGCAGCTTCAGCAGGGCCAGACTCTGTCAGGGATGAAGCTTTTGTGCTGTTCAGTTCCCAGTTCAGTTTTAACAGAACATATTTTAGGTTCTGCTTGTTTTGGCTTAGGATGACTGTGCTTTTCTTGACTGTATTGTTATAAAGCCTCAGAGCTTGGCAAGCCAAAAAATTCCAGAAGAGATGGACAGTGCTGCCTCTGGCTGAAGCCGGTTGGATTCCTGCTCTTTGACAGGCGGCTGTTGGATGTGGTACGGTTCTGCTTGTGTACTTGACAGGGAAAGGAGAAAAAAGGGGTGTTCAGAGAGAAAAACAAGCAAGATCTGAGCAAGGAGAAATGAGGCTGATGGGAGAAATCCCATGTGATGGAGTTACTTGACTCAATTCCTGGAGTTTGAAGCCCACTTCCTCATGGTTCTTCTTCAGGAGAAGAAACGGGCTTGCTTCATCCCTGTTTTCCCAGGGGTGGCAGGGAGATCTGAGGGTGACGAGGCCATTGTGCTGCTCCTAACCCTCTGTGGAGTTCTTAGTTGAAGTTAATTCTGCCTCTCTGTGTTGCAGACCCCCACTGCATGTTCCTAGGTGATACAAAATGCTCCTTAGTAGGACATACTAATTTTTTATCTGGAGGGTTGTGTTAGCACTGGGTCAGCTTCCAGCTTGAAATTACCTTCCAGCCACAGCTTTTCCCTGAAGTCATTATGCCCTAGTAAGTGGTTTCATATGGTCTGTGGGTGTTTTACTGAGTTACCTTGTAATGAAACTGGAATTTTTCATTTGGAAGAAGCTGCATTTGGAACAGTTGTCATCAAGGAGAGGAAAAAAATCCTTGGCAGAAACCATTCCCAGCTGTGTCCTTAATATATCAGAGAAACACCTGGTTAACTCATCCCTTGTTAGAAACTCCTTGGTGTTAGCTGATGCACTTAGTTATTTAGAGATGTAGTAGAACTGTGTAGAACTCTATATAGTTCAAAATTTTTCTTTCAATTTTCTTTAAATTCTTTAAAGAATTAAAAAAAAAAAAAAGAATTTTCTTAAAATTTCTTTAAATACTTGACAGTTCACTACATAATATCAGAGCCCACCACTGAAAGGGTTAATCAGAATTTTCCAAGCTATGTCTGAGAAGATGATGGCCCTGAAGAAGCCCCTGGCATGCACAGCATTCAGGTGGATTTCTATTTTTCCTTTTACCATGTAGAGAACTCAATAACCAGCCTGTAAGTTGAATTTTCCTTGTAGTTTATATAAATTCCAGCCAGACTTTTAATGCAACTGCTTATTAGCCTGCTTTGAGAGAGGCTGGTTCCTTTTGGGTTCTGCTGGGTGATATGTTTGTCCCTGTTCACAAAAGCAGCTACTTCTGGCAACAGCTTGTAATTGAACAATATTCTTGATTACAGATGGTCACTACACGCTCCCCTCTGCAGCGTGAGTGGAGCTGCACGTTAAGGGTCATGTCTGGGAACGTGGTAGCTTGAGAATGGCTATTTTCCTCTACATTATTTTCCAGTGGATGCATATAAGTACCATTGTACTAATGGAGCAAAAAATACTAGTTTCATTCTCTGCTCAGCAGTGTCTTGCCTCCCAATATCAAGATGCTGTTGGGATGAGGTTTATTTTGTCTGCTGTGATGAGGTCAAATGTGTGTGCGATTTGTTCTCCTCCTGCTAAAGGAATCTGCTCGATATTTTTATCCTTGAGAGGCCGTGTGCTCTGTTTTGCTCTGGTTAAGCACAAGTGTGTCAGAAATAGTCATTTCTTGTGCTTAGCAGGGAGGATTTTGCCTTGTTCTAGTGGATGGGGTTTTACCCTTTCTCAGCAGAGCTAAAACAGTCATCATCCTGTTTGTTAACAGTCTGTTAGTAGCTGAAGGTAGTAGCTACCTGAAGGTAGCTGCAGCTGAGGTGATGTTTGTGAAGAGGGAGGAGGGGAGGTGGAGATGGATGTGATTTGAGGGAGCTAAAAGCTGTTACTCACATGAGGGACATAAGTCTTGTGAATCCCCTGTCAGTAGGGACCGTGCTCTGAGGTAAGCGAGCAGCTTTCTTCACTGTTGAAGCCTGCCTGGGTTAAAAGAAATGTTCCATTCTTGCTTTGCTGTGCCCCATTTCAGCAGAGGGAGTGAATCGTGCTGTAACAGAGGGCTCTGCTACTTTTTCACCTCCAGTGGCCATCCTGCTTGGATTTACTATGGATTTACTAGGTGGGATTTACTACTGAGGACTAAATAACAAGCTGCAGCAGTGGCACGGAGGTAGTTATTGTGGGGAGAAAGCCAACATCTTCATCTGGAGATGTTTCCTCTCTTTAAAACCTTGCAGTGCAACTTCCCCTCTTGATGGATGAGTTGCTAGTCTTATTTTCTGTGAAAACTCCTTAAATCCATGTAGTTCATTCATTGATCTGGTGTGGTTGCTAAGGGCTGACATTTCCAGTATCTCTAGAGAAACCGCTCGGGTATTGGTGTGAGGAACCATTTCAGGGTTGTTACAAGATGCTCCAACTCCTCCAAGTTAGGAGAAGGTAAGGAAAAATAAGTTGTGCTCCCTGGAAGTGTTGAAGGCCAGGCTGGATGAGGCTTTGAGCAACCTGGTCTAGTGGAAGGTGTCCCTGCTGCTGGCAGGGGGGTTGGGACTGGATGAGATTTAAGGTCCCTTCCAACCCAAACCATTTGGTGATTCTATTATTATTTTGGGATGACTTCATGTCCCACAGGCATAATGAGCTGATGTGAAATGACTCTTGATTTGAAAAAGCTGCCTGTTGTTGAGCAGAGGCAGAGGCTGACCTGGAGGGGCTGCCCTCGCTTTGGGCATTGTTCTCTCCTTGTTCTCACAGCTGGGTGGGTAAAAAGTCTCGTCTTTAAGCTCCGTAGTTTTAATTCTGTGTTTCCTGTTAACAGGGTCACTTTGTCCTCCACGGATTGTTATATTGTCCATGAGATCTACAATGGAGAGAACGCTCAGGACCAGTTTGAGTATGAGCTGGAGCAGGCCCTGGAAGCGCAGTACAAGTACATAGTGATAGAGCCCACTCGCATCGGGGACGAGACTGCCCGCTGGATCACCGTCGGGAACTGCCTGCACAAGACGGCCGTGTTAGCGGGCACCACTTGTCTCTTCACCCCTCTGGCACTTCCAGTAGATTATTCTCACTACATCTCCCTGCCCGCTGGTGTGCTGAGCGTGGCTTGCTGTACCCTTTATGGTATCTCTTGGCAATTTGATCCTTGTTGCAAGTACCAAGTAGAGTATGATGCCTATAAACTTTCCCGCCTGCCCCTGCATACGCTCACCTCCTCCACTCCGGTGGTGCTGGTGAGGAAGGACGACCTGCACAGAAAGAGACTGCACAACACGATAGCACTCGCTGCCCTGGTGTACTGTGTAAAGAAGATCTATGAACTCTATGCTGTATGACTTCAGCAGGGAAGAGAGAAACCCACCAAGTGTATTAAGACTCCCACAGTAACATTTTGTTTTTCCTCTTTTTGAGAAGCAGTGGAGACTGGGAAGGATTTGGTTTAATAGAGATGTTATTTTTTAAAAAATAACACATCACTGGTGCACCAAGGTTTTTTCAGTTCTTCGTTACACTTAAGATGTGGATGTGTGGTGACTTGAGAGTTGTATGTTAGGCCATGGGAGTCCAATCCAGCAGCGGGATGTCGATGAAAGAAAGTTCTAGAAAGAGGGGGTGTGAGAGGTTTTTTTTTTTCCTCTTTTTTTTTTTTTTTTTTTTTTTTTGGGAAAATTTTTTTTTTTTCTGGGAAACATTTAAGTATATTGTTTAATTGTATTACACAGAACCAGCCAGAAGTTATCATTGACCATTAAAGGATGAGAAGTTCAAATGCTTTTGCTCTCTTGTTACTGTTCTCATAGTTCCCTTTTTCTAGTGTGCTTCCAGGGGATGGAGGCTCTGCTGTGGGAGCTCCAGGGGTGGTAATTATCCATGCATGTTCACACACAGACCTCATATTCCTCCTGTCCACTGCACGTGGCAGCAGCATCCATGTTACTCCACAGCAGTCGTCTGGTGAAGGAACAGCTGCAGAGTCTGGCTTTTCCTCTTGCTTCACTAGTTGTGTTTCTTGGAAGAGGGTTTTGTTACCCCCAGTGTTTATATCTTTTAATTAATTGCTTAAATTTTGATGGTTGGGGCTCAAGGTGTCCAAATCTCTGCTGTCCTGCCACCTCCAACCGTTATCTCTCTGCACAACGGAGAGAACGCTGTCGGTCTGCAGCTACAAACACATTCTGCAGTTCCTGTACGAGCTCTTCCTTACGTGGACACCTCTCCACTGAAATGTCTTGTACCAAGTGCAGCCGAGGTGGGAGCCTGGCTGTCCCACCCTCATGCTTTGTACCTGCTGCTGATGCTCTGGCAGCTGTGCCCTGCCCACGCGATTCCACCGCTCCTGCTGCCAGGCATCCGCCTCATTGTACCTTCTAACTGTGTTATCTGGAATTTTAGAATCAAATCTCGTGCATTAATTCATCTTTTAGCTGAAAACTGTCAAAATCTTGTTCTTAGAACAGGAAATATTTACTGTTTTGCAAGATCTGACGGTTACTTTTAAAAGATAGTGTCTTGCTTTCTTTAATCTCCTCCTACCAGATGGAAAATAGGCGTGGTGTGCAGTTACCAGGCCACTTTGGCACAGCTTCAGCTGTTCTGATCTGAATACAAGAGCAAAGCTCTGTAATAACAACCACCTGCACACAGGTGCTCCGCTGGCTTCACTGGTGGTTGCTGTCTGACCTCCACAGGTGAAGCACCGACCTTGGAAAAGAGTCTCATGAGGTCAGACACCAAATCCAGTAGTTCTATCTTTATCTTTCCAAACTGCAGCCGCAGGCAGCAAGAACCTCCCCCGGCCTCCAGACTGCAGCAGGCGCTTCTGGCCACCGTTCCAACTTGGGCTTTTCTGCTGATGCAGCTTGTGTAGGAACAACGGGGCATCCATCCCAGTTGTGTGTGTGTGTGCTGGGCAAACGGGGATTGCTGGGAGTTCACCACCTGCACAGGCAGCTCTACCTGAGCGGGCACGTGGGCTGGAGGACGCTCCAGTGGCATCGAGATGTTTCTGGGTGACCACAGTCCTTCGCCTCTCGTACAGTGGCTGAGCTGTCTCCCTCCAAGGTTAAAAGAAGCTGGGATCCAGAGAGGCTCTATTTATAGCAACAATGTACAGTTGCCTTGGCAGAGAGGAGGGGAAGAAATGCAACTACTTCATCTTGCTGTGGTTAGGCCAAGACTGCCGGGCAGCTGCCTTTCGAGTCCTGACGTTGTTTGTTCCTAAAGTCCCGTCTACTGGATGAATTCTGCACTAGCAGCCTATCTGCTGTAGCTAATACGTACTTAATTGCTGCAGAAGGCCCTGAAATCCTTCTGCCAGCCACACAAAA